ACAATTTTGAATTCCATATTTATACAATTAAAACAATCATATCTTATGTGTGTGTTATTTTTTATTATTCTGTCCGTATGAATAAAAGAGTTAAAATTGTATAATATGTGCAGATGATAGACAAACATCTTGCAAAATCTACTACAAGTGAGAAAGTAAAGTATGCGACTTGGGCCAATATGAAAATAGTTTTACTCACAATAGTAATGATGAAAAATAGCCGCATGTATCTTACTGCTTTTGTTCATTTTCGTGTAGTTCTTTCGTATGGAATAGAAGCTATACCAACGAACAGCAGCGTATTGAACAGCACCGTTGTAGCGGAAGCTTGCGGTGCCAACTTCTGCGGTGCGACGTCCGACGCCAGTGACAGCCCGAAATTAGAACGACCTCCAGACGAAAGGATCTACCTAATTTCCGGCATCTACCTGTGCTGCATGATAGTGGCCTCTTTAATCGTCGCGTTCGGGGTTGATTCTCTTACGAGGTAACGAATTGCACCATACATTTGATTATGTGGTTTACGAAGTTTTTACCAGACTGAACAACCGTGTTCTTAATTTATATGTATAGACAATTATTGACAACACGCAAATAAAAATATAGGATTATGTGCTTTATTATCATTGAGAAATTTCCTTTCAAATTTCCTTCCATTAAATTATTGTTTTTTAAATAAATGTGAATTTAATAGACGGAATTGATCGATGGGTTACCATATTTAACAACCGTTCACATTTTTCAGAAATTTTCAGAATCGTTAATTTTCCAGGTTTCCAAATAACTAAATTTACAATATTTATAAATTGTTATACTGCCAGGGAACATACTTTCATATTTTTTAAATTTTACTGGTTCTCGTATTGTCAACACAGTATCTATAAATCTTTAAATTACCAGATTTACAAGTTTACAGATTTCCAAATTGTGAAAATCTGACTGTTCTAATTTAAATGTATCGTACATCCTAAAACTGCCCGAACGTTAATCTTCAAACTACGAGACATATTAACTTATTGGTTTTAAGAGCGTTTAATTTTTACTATCTACGTCATTAAGTTAACGAATTTTTTTTCCTTTGAAATGATCTCGAATCTGTATAAAATAGTTACAAATGAAAGGGAATATTCGAGTTGCCCATGCCTGTTATAAAGGTTACTTTCATTCAAGAAATCGATTTACATATTTATCGTAAATTAGTAAATTGCAATCAGCCGCATATTGATAATTGACCAATTTATCCAACACAGTTACGGTGTAACCGTGCGTATTTGGCATTAATTGTCTGTAAAAGTCGACGCAGTTACGGATGTACCAAAATCGTTTGAAATATTTCGGGATCGTTTTTGCCACCAAAGCAAAATGCATTGTTTCAGGTATCATAAATCGTTCGTCTATCGAGGCACGTGCATTCACGAATTTAGAATTGATGGCACATTAAGCCACGCCAGAATAACAACATTGTTTCCGTTTAAAGAAATACGAGTGACAACTCTGTCAATCAATCTGAACTAAAACTTTGACTATGTAGAAATATTTTGACACCCACGCTATGCGAGTACTTACTAACTCGTTACTGTTGGTTCAATAAATTAGTAATACACCATAATTTAATGTGTAATAAATCCAGCTTAAGAAAGAACAAATAAATGATGGAAACTGTCATATTATTCATATTTATCGCATGTATCGATTTGTTTATTTATAATTCAACTTGGATAACTTGACTTATTTAATAAAGTAATTTGTTTCACTTTTTTCAAATCTTTATTGTTTGGTTCATGATTTTCCATTCTCAAAGCGCTTTACAATTTATTTTATTTTAGCATGCCTAGATTATTTATTTCATTCATTTAATAATCATTATTTCTTAGGTAAACTTTGTTAATACTTAAATATGTAAAATCATAAATTGTGCTATCAATATGTTTACAGGTACGATAGAGGTAGGTCAGGATCAGCAACCGGACAATCAGGATGCAAGTTACTAGCTGTAACGCTGAACTTATTAAAAGAAAAAAATCAAATTCTTATTCTGCCCATGATCATGTTCATCGGAGCAGAGCAAGCATTTTTATTTGCTGATTATAACGCAGTAAGTATATTTCTAAATATATGTATATTCTCTTTCTTCGCGTGTTTTATTATTTTATGTATTTACAAATCATTGATTTCAGTCCTTCGTCTCCTGTGCGTGGGGAATCAGTAACATCGGTTACGTGATGATTTGTTTCGGTGTCACGAACGCTATAGCCGCGTTAGGCACCGGATCCATCATGAAACTGACAGGGAGAAGAGTTCTAATGACAGTCGCTTTTCTTCTTCACTTAGCAATTTTAATCTTCCTGTTGCGTTGGAAACCTACACCCGAACAAAGTTCAATATTTTTTCTTATGTCCGGATTATGGGGCCTCTGCGACGCTATGTGGTTGGTACAAGTGAACGGTAAGAATTTCAAAGATAAAGTTTAATCAGAAATTGAACTTTCTTTACCTGCTGTCGAGGTTCTTCATGTTATCTACTGATGAAATTATTTGCAGTTCGTTTTGCAATAATATCGATTACTATTAAGGTAAAATCCTAGCTTAGTAGCTGATAGTACGGTTGCAGACCGACTGTTGGAAACTTCGATCTCTTATCCCTTTCACAGGAATTTCAGAATTCAAGTGAAATTCATTATTGATTGTGTTCTTTCTCAAAGTTCTAACATATTACAATTATAGTACTTTAATTTTCAATTATACTGATTATAATCGATAAGATAACGAAAGATTTCTCATGTAAAGATAAAGTCGTAATGAAGCTCATAAATTCGTAAACAGAATTTCATTTATTGCACTTTTAATTTTCAGCTCTGTCGGGATTATTATTCCCCGGCAAAGAGGAAGCTGCATTCTCGAACTTCCGACTATGGGAGTCAACGGGATCCGTGATTACGTATGCCTACAGTCCTTACCTATGCACGCAGACAAAACTTTATTGTCTGATTGGAATCATGTGCCTCGGCATTGTCGGTTACGGTGTAATTGAGTATACTCAGAAGATTGAAAGATCGGATCCAGAATCAAAACCAGACTTTGAATTGGTAGCAAACGGCGAAACAAATGACACGACGAAACTATAAGTCGTACGCGAAAATAGGCCTATTAAAGACAAAAATACTGAACCGTATTATTTAGTACGATCAAGTATGATAAATACTGTACTCATTATTTTCAAATTTACTTTGCGTTCTTCGCGGCGCACAAAAAAGTTCGAACTCGTAGATTTTTATTTAACGACACTTTATGTTATACAATTAAAAGGAAAGAGGGTGATGAATCAAGAGAAAAGTAAAATATTACGACTTGATGATATGTCGGATTATTCAAAAACGCTCGACGTAGGATTTTCGTGTAAAATAATGTTATAATTATGGCATACATTTAATGTATTATATATATATATATATATGTATATATATAGAAAATCATACACAAATCAGGTCGGCATATAATATATAAAAAATTATATGTACAAGAAAAAATATCGATTGGAGGCGCAGTCAGGACCTTGAAGGTACGATCTTTGTGTGATTTGTACCACAATATATGTTTTTATTTTATTCTTGTGGACACCTACTAGATTTTACACAGATAGTTCGCTTAACCACTAAAGATTCTTTTCTCCGTTTCTCTCGTCGTGGTTGCCATGTTTTTTTGCTTCGTTTTCATCTTTAAATACGTAGTTTAATGTTACATCGTGTGTGTCTAGGTGCTAACATTCAAGCTATAGCTACGACTGCTTAATTTAATTGTATACTTAATGTGCTTAATTTCCTTTTCACTGTACGCGCGTGTCTCATGTGTATATGTGTATGTAACGTATTACGTGTCTGTAAATGCGAACTGCACGTATCGTTATACGCCTGTATGTCTGTACGTGTGCTTATGTATGTTAACGCGTTTTCATTTCCCACAGCGTGTTCTTATTGTGCTACCACGATCAATTGTCTCCCGTCGATTAACTTTCAAACACGATGATATATTACAAGATTATTTTCCGCTCAACTGATGGTGGATCGAATCTGATCGGGAATTCATTCTCTCTTCTGGTACGAATAATTAAGCCAATTGCGACGTGGAATCAATTGATCTTGCATCCCTCGTCTCTCATTAGCGGCGTTCAATTGCTGATTGTTAATTGTGAATCGTGTGCTAGCTTAACCCTCACTTATGTACAATTCAAGTTTTGCAGTTCAGTTATATACTTTATAAAACGTAGTAGGAACTTTGGTTTCGCTGGGCAATGTTTCAAGAGCAGTTTCCTCTTTCGTTCGCACGAACTTTTGTTCTTCTTTTGTTCCTCAACCTATTCACCCTCTCAATTCGTCTTTGACAATCTAATGCTTTCGCCTTGGTGTTCTAATTTTACAACGAGACATCATTAATTCTATTTGTTCAGCTGTGATTAGCGTATATTTTGTATAATTTTCTCTTTACCTCACGTTTTTTGGTTCAGCCTGAAAGTAAAAATTCGGACGGAAACTGCTATAAAACATTCGCCCGTGGATCTATCTTCCTTAGACATATGACACTCACGAATACAGTTCACGTATTTTTTTTCTTTTAATACTCATGTTTATAATTCCGTAGTGACCTATTGAATATATCAATTTTTTTTTACGAAGAAAATACACATGATTCGTAAACTTCTTTTGTCTTTCTCTCTCATCAGTAGTATTTTTTCTCGTTCACACTCTCCCTCACTCTCTCGTCTGTATCTTTTTTTTTTTTCACGTATTCTCTCGTCAACATCCATTATGCCACTCTCCCCCATTTTTCCTTTTTTCTAACCTCGTATAACAAAATTTAATAACCGGAATATCTCTGTACAAACATTTTAATTCGTCACTCTCTCTTTCTTTGTTTTCCCCACTCCTGCTTCGCTCCTTTGTCAAAAGGAACAACACGCACACCCCCAATCTTTACCCCGATCAAAATTTTGAATTTTGAATCCTCCCTTTTTACACCTACCCTCTACACCCTACACCGTCCCGTATACTACAGTTCCCTGTCTCTTTCACCCTACTATCCCATTTTTTATTCTCGTCCTGCCTTTCACTTTCCGTGTCTCCTTCTCTCTTCCCCTTTACCTCGTCTCTGTGTTTCGTTTTAGGAACAGATCGTTTTGCTCGTATTTTTAATTGTATCCTAGAGAGTAAAATATACCTTAAACGTAACGCGGTTTATCCATAGAAATTTATTTCATCTCCCTTCTCCGCTTTGTTTTGTATCCCATTATTTTTCTTCGTTTTCTATTTATCCATAACGTGTAAATTTGCTTTTCCGTTTAGTCTATTAAATCGTCGTTCGGTCGTCGTCGTTCGTACTGGTCGCAGTCATCGTCGTTATAGCCATTTTATAGCTATATCACGATTATTTTTAGATAGTTACAATATTACAGTCTCTAGGTGTTCCTTTTAAATATGTACACACGCTCCTAGCTACGCTTCTTCCAAGGATCTTGCGATTTTAATAATTAATCGTACTGAGTTAACCCATTACAACGGCAGGGTAAATGTGTGTGTGTGTGCGCGTGTTTGTATGGACATATGCTCGTATGCGTGTATTTGTATTCGTGGTATCGTTTCTTCCTCCTGTTCCTGTACGCGCAGACGCGTATGTGTGTGTGTGTGTATGTAGGTATGTCATGCATTTTCCTTTTAATTACACTCGAGCTGAAAGATATTAAGAAATCGTGTCGTACGTCGTACCATTATCTTGGGATGTGGGTTTAGTTTCGCCTACAGTATCGTTTATTACGGCAAGGAAGGAAAAATCGTCGGAATAGTTAATAAACTGTCTACCGTCCGGTCTTCTACATACGTAACTCTGCGATACCTTTTTTAATTATTTATCAAAAAACGATTATATCCTGGCTTCGGCTTAATTAGGTTTAAGACGAAAGAAAGAGAGCCTCTCACCCGAAGCGGAACACATTCCGAAACGTAAACACACTACATTATTATGTATCACTATCGATTAACCGGGGAGTACATGCGATAGTTTTATCCTCACGCAAATGCTCGATATTTAAGCTTCTTGTAATGCGGGTATTATAATTTATTTTATTTTTATTTACCTTCGCTCCTTCCATTATTTCCTTCTTTCCTCCTATTTATTCTTTTTCATTTCTTTTCCTTTTTTGACCAACGAACCGTTCCTCTGGATGCGTAAACACGAAGATTCGTCCGTGGAAAATTGGAAACCTATGGTCTTTTTCGCGTCCCGTTATCGTCACAGAAATATTCCCCTCCCGCACGTTTCGACTTTAACGACTAACGTCGCTTAACGGCGGTTAAAACGACGAAAAATTTGCAACCGAATTGGTACCTACGTGCACGTTGCATGTTCATGTTATATATACGTATACATGATATATAATGCAATATATAATATGTATGTATATATACATAGATATATATGTGTGTAGCGTATGTTCTGCACGCATTCGTCATCATGTATGTAATTTGTACAGTGTCACCCTTCGTTAGTCGACATTTATAATGCTACCCTCTGAAAGTTAACGCGACTCTCTTCGGAATGAAAATGCAAACGTATAAGTTGTCGGACAGCCTGTTGATCGTTTTGTAGGAATCGAGAACAGAAATTGCATCTTTGCTACGTCGTCGGTTTGTTCATCTTATTAAATTCAATCTCTGTTGCAAGTAGAAGTACACATATGAAATCTCGATTTCCTTTACGTCTTTTACTCTCTAGCTAAAGGAAGAATTGAGTGTCCTCCAGGTCAATTCGGTTGCAGATTTTCCGCGATCAGAGATAGCTGGACGGGAACGCGTAGCGAATATAAATATATCGATACGATTAGCGGCCAAGCGGATCGAACATTTAGGAACGAAAGATGCGTAAATGTTTAATACGTATACTTCTTTATATGGCTGATTACGGACTAGTACTTTTCTTTCACGTTTTACTCTGCGGGGAGACAAACAACCTTCAACGTTTCTTCTCGTTTCCGGTTTTTCTTCTTTTTTTTTTTTGATAGAATTTTCATCGAAGAGGGCATCAGGAGGATCCTTACGATCGATCGGATAATATACTTTCAAAAAGACGTTATTGCATTAATTTACTCGCTACAAAGTTCTTTCTTCAAACGCCATTTCCTTCGCATACGCGTATGTTTCACTTTTGCCTCATTTTTTTTTTTTCTTCTCAACTTTTGATCGATTTTCTAAATACACGCGTACAAATTTACAGACGAGCACACCCAGAGAACAATATGGTTGAAACATTGTCTTTCTTTTCTTTTATACGAAGCCTGTAATCGAATGATTGTTTCACCGGTAAGAATGTAAAATAAAAGAAGTTGGATGGATGGATCATCGTCATAAACGATAGCGGCTACTGGTACTGTTTAAAACTTGTTCCGTTGCTATTTCCTGTGTGTACAACTGAATATGTATCCCGTTGCGTATGGCATATTATGTGAAAGTGACGGTATTATTGTAGTTACGGTTGTCGTCGCTGTCGATTCTTCTCGTTGCTTCAACTATGTTCCTTCCTGCGTGCTAGTGGACCAAACGGCTGATCCGTATTTTCGTTTATTTAGTTCTCGACGCGGCCTCGCACAACGAATAGTTCAACCCATAAAAAAAGGAACGATCTCACGGCGAACGTATTCGTTGTGCGAGCACCGCTTTGTGCTCCGTCTGTTGGCTCTTCAACGACAGACGATTCTCGGTAGCTAAAAGCTTTCTCGATCGTTACATTGAACTAGCATTTATCTGTGCGATTACTTAAAGGAATTAGGTATCGTACTTATCCTAGCTTTTCACGAGCCGAGATGCGACTTGATAATTGTTATTTGATTTACGCCTTATCGTGTTACTGTCCCGCGACAAACGATACTTCAGTCCGATCTAATCGAATAAATTTCATTTTTGTCTCGTCTTTCCTTCTTCAGGACCTGCGGCTCGTTTATCAGATACCAATAAACTACCGCATTGACCGTCGCTTCGTTCCGCCTCTTTCTTCGCTTAACGACTTAATAAATTATTGGATAAGACGATGTAGTTAAGGCAATTATCAAAGTCAAACGCTCGACTCCTGTACATCACATTAGTCGTAGAGTAAAACTATTTACAGATATATAGGTCTCGTATACGCCTGCAATCACAATGATCTTTACACCGTGCGCGCCGAGCGTACGCACGCAGGGAAATTCACGGAGCGCGTGAATCCTCCGTACGAAACGCTTTACCTCGAACGCGCTGATTTGTCGAAAGTGTATATAATGTTTTATTTAACGCGACGCACTGTGTGAGATTCGGCAATCCCTTATGCTTGTTCATGTTCTGAGTTGAAATTCGTGATTCATCGATTTGTCGCCGGTCCTCCTGGAAAGCGTTCGACGAATGGGGGATGCCGCCGTCCGAATCTCGTACGATGCGACGTAAACTCGAGTCCTTAAAGCTTCGTTTTTTCATTCTAGTTCACTGAATTGAATTATCGTTTCGATACGCAATGTTCGATCTCCTCCAATCACTTTTACCCACTGTTCTTCAGTTTCAAGTTCTTCAAGAATTGCCTCCTGTTGCAGAACCAAATCCTGATCACCTCGCGGTCATAGCCAAGGCTCTGCGCTAAATCCGAAATTTCTTTACCTGAAACACATCGCAGACAAAAACGTTTAATTCGATTTAAAGCTTCATTATTAATCCCTTAACGTACTATTATGTAATATAATATATATAAGAAAATAACTTTATTACACTACCCTAACAATTATATAAAATCTCAAGTTTAATAGAATGGTATTAAAAACTACTGTAACAAAACAAGAACTCACTATTAGGATGAGTTTTCTTGACGAAATAATTTTTTAAAAATTCTACAGCCTGTGGGGTAAACGATGTTCGCCGCTTTCGTTTCTTGCTTGTCTCCAGCCCAAAATCCGTTAACTGGTGCAATCCGCTTTTGTGCCTGAAACCAAATACACCGTTATTAGTTCTATTGTAAAGAAAGAAAACGTTTCAGCTTACAATTAAGTTGTATCAATGAATAGCTTGTCAATGTCCTGCCAATTAAACTATAATCTTGAAAAGAATAGAAAGAGGAAGCGTAAGGAAGAGAATAAGTAAGAGTAAAGAAAATCCGCGACTTCGTTAGGAGAACTGAATTCTCATCTCGCATCAATGCAAACACTCCGATCGAGCTCTCTAATCAAATATTAAAACAAAACAGGACCTGGTCGGTCGTGTGTTAACTCGGCAAACTTTTCTCTACTACGTCAAAGCAAGTTCCGCGAAACCGGAAAGAGCATCGTAAACAGACAAGAGTTGCTCGTGAAATCACACATTCGCTGATCTCTTCGTCGTCTTTTCATTAAACAGCGGGAAAAAGAGGCAGCGGCGTAAAATGTAGCGCGCGATGAAGCGGTCGGCGAAAGGCAAGAGGAGCGCGAGTACGAGGAAACAGAGGCAGCGTTTTGCGAGGCCATTCATTCCTCTGACTGATTGGTCGCGGGTCCCCAGCCGACGAACTTTTCCGAATGAAACGGACGACGAGGGCATCGCGACGTCGAGAGTCGCGCAAATGAAATTAGCGATCGAGCGTCGCTTCGAATAAAAAAACCTGGTAACCGTAAACAGGAGAACTTCCGTTGGGAATCGCGGCTAAACGAGCCGAACGCCGCGCCGCGCCGCGTTGTTGCGAGAAAAGGTGAGAAACGGGGAGAGTGTGGACGGGAGAGAGTGCGTCCCGACGCGCACGGAAACACAACAACAAGGGGAGAGCGGGTCCGTTCGTAGGTGGACGTCGCTGTGAAATTTATGTTTTTAATTTAACTCCGTATGACCAACTGTCGGGCCGTGGCGAGAAAAAAGTGCAGGCCGAGCCATTAGCATCGCGCGGTGATATTTCGTCGAATCCGCGAAAACAATATGCTAATGGAGAAGCTGGCGAGCGCGAAGGACCGATACTTCGAAAGCATTCCCAAACCCCAGGGTTGGGGGAACGGGCTGACGAACGATGGGGAGGAAAATCGAAAAGGGTGGCGATCACTGCCTCGCGTCCTCTCGTTTTTCCGTTTCACTAATAAAGAAAAATTGATCGATCATTTCAGACGCCGACGAGTTAATTTGACTCAAGCTTCACGGCACATTTCACATAATTTTTAAAATAATATATGACGGTTCTAAAGCAATAATCGTTTCGATGGCCACGTTTTTCCTTGCATTTTCCAAGTAACAGAATAACCTTATCTATTATGAAATGGAATATTTTCAAGCAAACAGAATATCTCGAAACAATTTTTTATTTCACCTACGATTTCCATTTTATAATCTTCTATTTGGGAATGTATTCGAACTTGTGGTGAGAACTGGAATAAATTTCTCATCTCTGATAGGCCGACAAGGTTGATATAACAATTTCTGATGATATTTAATAAATTGTTTGTTTGTTTAAGCAAAATATTTAATAAAAACGAAAGCTAAATAATGAAACAATTTGGAAAAGTATTGCTTCTTGCTTTTATCTCAGCTAAATGCAATACTCTATACTGCAATATATCTAGCTTGAATCTAATCTTTCTGTTAACATATTTAAATTATGTTAATATATAAAGAATTCGGAATAGTAATTTCTTAAACGCTTCTGAGTGACATCAAACGTTATTAAATCGGCGAGCATAGAGTTTCAATAATGATTTACGAGGTGAAAATGTCTATCGGTAACTTAATTACCGATGAGAATCGGGAGGATAATTAATTTGATATGAGCAAGCTTTCATATACCTGCTCCTCCTATGTTTATCGCCGCCATAACGACATGCGATTCAAATTAAACGTATGGTAATTGCATTTTTCTTACAAAACAGTTTTATTTTTAGCTGCGCACGGTTTATTGATTGCATTTGTGTAATTGGCACGGCTGTCTGATGAAGCCTTGAACCGAGACTGTTCTGTAAAATGGGTCCTGCATTCGCCGTAACCCGAATCTACCCATTAAAAAAATATGGAAATATGATGAATAAAATTGCAGCTAATATTGTGCTTCGTACGTTACAAATGTCGCAATTTAATAAATAATGTATCTATGCATGTATATACATTTTTGTTAAAACAATCGGAACGATTGAACGCAATCATTCAATACTGACTACTAG